AAATACCCCCAAAAAATGTAATGTGTGTAGAAACATACACAGCCGCTTCCCTCTTACAAAGACAAAGAGAGGTGGCCTCTAACCCTAAATGTGGGTTGAGTCTGAGAAATTTTACCAGATTTTAGGGTCAGCTGATGCTTTGAAGTGAGTTCCCACAGGCAGCAGTCAGAGCATTGTCAGTGTGTGATGGTAATGCAACATGGCTGTTGGGTGCAGCAGGTGTGCACTATTACCGATCCGATAACGTCAGCGACTGGTGTTTCGGTGTTTCAGTGCTCTTAACTCCTCACCTGACTGTTTTAAAATTTAAATGTAGTCAAATACATTTTATTAAACAAAACATAAACCAACTGAATGTCAAAGAATAATAGAATTACACTCAGTGCCTCACTTTCATTCACCATAAAGACAATTCAGAACTGGTAAAGCTGTGCTTGGTCTGAATCTAATTTAGGACAGGCGTGATAATTCCCTTTTGGGAAACTAACTGTGTTTCAAACATCACAGTAGCGACTGGTACCACAAAGCACCACACACACGCACACACACACACGCACGCACGCACACACACACACACACACACACACACACACACACACACACACACACACACACACACACACACACACACACACACACACACACGCACACACACACACACGCACACACACGTACACACACACAACGCCGACGACACACTCACAAACTGATGAAGTACCTTGACAGCCACGAGCATCTTGTCCTTGGTGGGGCTCAGGTTGTAGCATTCAGCCAAGAAGACTTTACCGAACGCCCCCTCCCCCAGCTCCCTCTTCAGGATGATGTCTCTCCTCTTAATGTGCTGGACTACTGAAACCAAGCAGACATACAGAGAATATCCGTTAGCAGGTCCTTGTTTACTTCAGCCATGAACACAGAGTTTAACAAGAAGCATTTTACCACCTAATATACACACAACCCAGGGGTGAAATGGCTTTTTTTTAATCAGAAACTCAAAAAAACAAAAACAAACAAACAAAAAAAAAAAAAAAAACAAGAATGTTTTTGTTCAGATTCCCCCAGAAATAACATCAGATTGTCTCAGAAACAATCAAAGGAGCGGGAACATGGACCTGGAAACTCTTAGGTACACTAAATGCTGCTTCTCATCTACATCAGTGAAAATGTACTGGCAGGAATCGGGGATGTGCGTTGGAAAGAATCTGGTGATACAACAAACTTCACAATACAGATGAGACGACATATTACAACACACACAGTCTGACAATATTTGCAATTTTTCAGAATTTAATTGATAAACTCCATCCAGACGCTTGAAGAGAGTTATTGTGGGTTCTTGTTGTTCTCTCAGAGCGAAGGCATTAAAAACTGCTGCCACCAAGCGGTCGGAGTTTGAATTGCAGATACATGATAGGTTGTAGTGAGGATAAACATTTGTTTTGCAACTCAAGTTGAAATGTTTGAAGTTAAATCTTGACAAATACTTTTTTCCTCTACAAGGCACGAGTTCTTCCTCACAGAAAGCCAAATGGACTGATGGGTCCTTTTGTAAAGATGCACCAGACTGTTCACTTGCTGCTTTTCTGACTGTGAACATTTAAATGTAAACATGTGATGCTGTTCCTGGAAAAGGAAAAGGTCACGGACTGGTCAGTGTGTGTCATGAGAAGAGAAAATGTTTGATTCTACTTTGAAGCCCCTTAAGAGAGAATACTGAGTTTTAGACTTTAAGTGGTTTTAAACAGGGAGACGACCCCAGACCCAGATCTCTAATCTGGATTCTTCAGTTTTAGACTCAAAACCACACGAGGATATCAGTAAAAGGTTTATCTCTTAATTACAAAATTCTACCCGTGGCTGAGCACGGTTGTGAGACTGGTGCATTCCCTGGTCTCCAGACAGATTATTCCCATTGTCATTACTGACTATGTTTGTGGTCCCAGAATGGAAGCTTATTCTTTCTATTGATTACCCTCTAAAACTGGTGGCTCTGCAGCGTAAGAGGCCGAGTAAGTGACAAAGAGGCAGGAAAAGGTAGAAATAGCAGGACAGAATGCAGCTCAGTGTGGAGGAGGCGGGGGGAGCTTTTGAACAGATCTCCTCTTTGTGGCTGGCTCTGAATAAAACATGACCATTTGTAGGTTCACCATGAAAGCTGCGGTGCTCCCATAGATGTGCACATAGAGAACACACAGTGTCCACAGCACATTTAGATAAAAATCACCACGCTATACGAGCCGGGACTCACAGCTTCAGCTGTGCTCTAAATATTGATGAGAGCAGACTGGTTTCACGATTTCAGATTTCACGAGTTAGGGGCAAAGCATCTGGGGCCGGTCGATTAAAAAATAAATCACTACTAAAATAAATGTCAGGCCCAACTCCGGGAACTGATGCCCCCCACCAGCCTAGCAGCTAGTTGTATTTCAGTCCTCAAACTGTGGTGCAGTTCTTTCAGACTGTAACCAAAACTACAATACTTTATCCAAACCGGTGCACACAGGAAAGCATTAAACCATCTTCAGGTGCAGCAGCGCCTCAGAGGCCAGGTAGAATGATTTAAATTAAATAAAACTGTTGAAATATCAAACAAATCAAATTGTGTTTTAAACAGAGGTGTGACCAAGTCACTGCTTTGCAAGTCACAAGTAAGTCACAAATCTTTCCAGTCAAGTCTCAAGTCAAGTCCAAGTCAAAGACAACCAAGTCCAAGTCGAGTCCAAAGTCGATTATGTGGAAGTCCAAGTCAAGTCCACGTCCTTAACTTTGAATTTCAAGTCATAATCAAGTCATCTGTCCGACTTCAATTTAATGACAATGATAATAAATAAATTCCAGAAATAAAACTTCTTAAACTTCATTTATTTGCTCGAACAAGCAAAACGTGCAGCTGAAACTGATCATAAACAAAGTGCTGCTGCAGTTAGCAGTACAAGCTCACACCCAGAACCAAGAATGAGTTATGAGTTTTGTCCATGTCGTGTCACTTTTCTGCTAAAATATCAAATATACTCAAGTCATCATCAAGTCAACAGATGCAAGTTGATTTAAGTCGCAAGTCATTGCCATTCAAGTCCGAGTCAAGTCATAAGTCTTTATATATTTTATCAAGTCAAGTCAGAAGTCATTATGGTAAATGGTAAAATGGCCTGTATTTGATATAGCACCTTCTAGAGTCCTGGAACCCCCCAAGGCGCTTTACAACACAATCAGTCATTCACCCATTCACACACACATTCACACACTGGTGGGGATGAGCTACAATGTAGCCACAGCTGCCCTGGGGCGCACTGACAGAGGCGAGGCTGCCGAGCACTGGCGCCACCAGTCCCTCCGACCACCACCAGCAGGCAACGTGGGCTAAGTGTCTTGACCAAGGACACAACAACAGTGACAGACTGAGCGGGGCTTGAACCAGCAACCTTCCGATTACGGGGCGAGCACTTAACTCCTGTGCCACCGTCGCCCCATTAAAATAATGACTTGAGTCCAAGTCATGTTACTCGAGTCCACACCTCTGGTTTTAAAACCTCATTTGTCTGAGATTGTAGAGTGCAGTTTGCAGGTCTAAGAAACATGATGAGTACACAGAATCTTTATTTAGTTAACAGAAAAAAAACAACTCACTGAGATTACCACCTATCATCTGTTCACGTCAATGAACTGATGCAATCACATTCCACAAGTATCGTTGAAAAGCACCATTCTATATATTTAGACTGTCCAGAGGCTGTTCCAGGTCAGAGACGTGAGAGAGGACATGGAGTTAGTTGGTGAGAGGGTAGAGGATGCAGGACTAAACGGAGACCCCTGAAGGAAAAAGCCCAAAGAAGAAGAGGTTCCTGGTCAAAGAGACACAGAATGGACTCAGGAGAAAAGCTAGCAGAACAGGAAGTGATAGATGTCACTGACATAAATGAGTCTGGTGTTCGTGAGCCTGAATGGTATTTATGCATAAGGGAAACGAGTGAGAAGCACAACTGAGAAGCAGGGAAGTGTGTGTGTGTGTGTGTGTGTGTGTGTGTGTGTGTGTGTGTGTGTGTGTGTGAACCCAGACAGTTTGGTTTGCTAATGGAGTGGCTCTACGTTCAGCCTGATTGGCTCTGCGAACGTACATCACAACTTTCACGATTTCTTCGTGCTCCAAGCCAAACAATTAAAACAAGCAAGGTTTCTGAACGCAGCATTAGCATTGCCACTGTCAGTGTGTGAGCCCCTGAAGGCAACAGGTGAGTTTCACCAGAACTCCAGGGTCAAGTATGGGACGGGGAAATTCATTAGGAGATAGGATGTCCCAGTCCTCTCAGCTGTTGTGTCTCCACACAAATTCAGCTCTTTCAGAACTTTGCACAGATGTCAGCATATCGGGACTAATTTGGCAGTGAGTGATGTCACTGATCAGCGTCAAAAAGCGTCCACAGTAACAATAATGACAGTAAAAGCTTTTTTTTTTATGTTGAGATATGTCATCCATTCAGAGGATGGCAGCAGCTGTGTGGTGTACAATATTTAAGTGACATTTTTTACAGTGCTCTCTGAGACAACACTGCTCCATCAATGAAGTCTGTGGGGGAATTTCACCTTTTTTTAGTGTCTGGAGTTTAGTACCAGCCGTGAGGGAGTTCCGCCACGTTCTCCGGTGTCGGGAGTTCGATTCTAAATGTGATTGGTGCTTATTTTCCTTTGCATTTATTCTGCTTCACCAGCAACTCTTCTAACTTTACTGGTGGTTTAGGAGAACATCTGCTGATGTCATTACCTACTGAGTTACAACCAATCAGCGTGGGTAAACCAAAGGTGCTCAGCTACTCCACTGGGCCGATTAGAGTACCTACCACTGAGCAGGAACTCAGAAGGTTCCTGAAAACAGTCCGGGAAACGGCCGTGCGGGCCGGCGCGGTCAGGTGGAGGTTCCTGTAAATCTACCCTGAAGGTCCAGTAGTGGAAACACAGCTAACATGTCTGAAGCGATACAATACGTCAATCTGCATATTCATACTTCTCTCTACAGAACAGAGGAGCGCTCCAGTTATATAAAAATCACCAGAATCTTTGTGCCTTTATTTTTTCCACAATGTTAAAATTTGAACATCTGTTTCTACGCTGATTTCCAATGCACCTGCATATGTTTTCTCTGTATTTTACCGCTTTATTCCATTTATTGGAGCTCCGCATAATCCCATATGCTCAGATGTGGTGCATTAATCAGTTTTGGCTGCCCGTATTTAAATCACCAGGCCTGATTCATCCATGGTAGACAAATAAACATGCAGGAATTTTATCCATCCCCCATCTGTGCATTCTGGGCTTCCATTAAATCAAACTTGTTGGTCATGTGCCTGCGATGGACAGTATGTCACCGAGCAGTTAACTGCACACAAGGCCATACAGAGTCAGCCTTTAATGTAGCGGTAACAGAAACACTGATTTGTCTGTACTTAGAGCACATCAGGTGATGCATCTGTTCCCCTGGGACCGTTTGATCTTCACTATGATAATTAGTTTTCTTGTCTGCACTTTCCAAATGACTGTTGGTTAAGCCCTGCCTCCCGTAGTGGCTGTTCATATAGTTGTTAAGCTCCTGGTTTAGAATGATAAGCTCCAAACCCAGATGTGTGGTTTTAGACTCCTTCTGAAGTGTATAGTTACAGGTTCACCCAGCCGTACTAAACCAGTGGCTGAATAATTTAAAGAGTGCATCTTATTTGTATTTACAGCTCCTAATGGTAATTACTGTGTTCATGGTACTACAGTATCATACAGAAATTTATTTTTTTAACCATAAATAACAAATAAAATTAAATTAAAAAAATATTTCATAACACATTTGATCACTTTTGGACTAAATCACTGTTTTTTCTTATTTTAGTATGCATTAACGGTTATTTTCTCTTCAAGGTCAAGTTCAAGAAGGCCCATACTTAGACTATTTCCAGAAGTGGGAACCAACTGGTAATTGCTGAAAAACTAGTTCATGCATTTATTACATCAATGCTGGAATACTGTTATTCATTACTCTCAGGAAGTCCACAGAATGTAGTTAAAAGTCTTGAGCTTGTCCAAAATGCTGCAGCTAGAGTTCTGATGAGAATTAAAAAGAGAGATCGTATCTCTCCTGTCTTAGCTTCCCTACATTGGCTACCTGTTAAATTCAGAATAGATTTTAAGATCCTCCTTCTCACATATAAAGCTCTTAATACTCAAGGTCCATCATACATCAGTGATCTGATTGTTCCATATGTTCCTAACCGAGCACTTCGCTCTCAGACTGCAGGTTTACTGGTGGTTCCCAGAATATCTAAAAATAGGATGGGAGGCAGATCTTTTAGTTATCAGGCTCCTCTCCTGTGGAACCAGCTCCCAGCTTTAGTCCGTGAGGCAGACACTTTGTCTACTTTTAAGAATAGGCTTAAACATTTTTATTTGATAGGGCCTATGGTTAAAATCTGATGTTAGCCTAAATCAGGACAAGTGGGGGAGTAGAGAGAGGTGGCGTGTACAGTCGGTAAAGACGACTCTCCCTTGCCCTGCCTCAAACATGCCTACATCTAAATAGGATAGATTATCCAGAGTTAACTCTGTAGTTATGCTGCTATAGGCTTAGACTGCTGGACTGACCACTTTCCACACTCCACTACTTTCTTCTCCAATCTGCTCTTTAACTGTACTATTTCCTGCTATTTCAGTTGTTAACTTTATTTTTTCTCGAAGTGTTTTTCTCCCCAGAGGAAGCTACAATGATGTTCTGCTGTGCTGTGGTGGCCTCATGGAAGGGGCCATCAGCTTGAACACTGTTGCTAACCACTTAAACATTCTCCTTCTCCCGATAATAACACTTTACTTTCCTTGACATTGAATGTGCTACTACTAGTTTACCCGTTTAATTATAAATTCACTAGGATAAATACAATAAAGTTTA